CCCAAGTCCAAAAAGCTATGGTGGATATATCTACGCCTATTGGGGGCGTGGCAAATCGGATAAAACTGTATCTCCTACAGTTCTAAGGCTAGAACGTTGAAATTTCGCACGAAAGCTAATGCTATAATTCTATAATGATTAATGAAAGAATTATTCATCTGCCCACCAGGGGTGTGTCAAATCGGACCTGACGATATAGCGATTTTTTTTAGATTCTGCTATATTATGCACACTATACAGACCTAATTTGTAATTTTGTAACGCCTGACTGCAACGTTCTCACTTGTTCTTGTTAAAGCATTAAAAAAAAATAATTTTTGACAACTGATTTATGTGTCAGCAAAAAGAATTTTCATTTTATTGACAGCTCAGTGCAAATTCTTTGATGACATATGCCCTTTGAAAGAGTTCATTTGTCTAAAGTATTTAGTAAAATTCATTCACTGAACGTTTTGCTACTTTCCTCTCTGCTTCTGTAAGTTTTTTCAATCAATCTAGTATGTGTAGAACTATATCTTTTTTGATTTAGTTGTTTTTTCTAGTAGTTTTGAAGCCGGATTTGCTATTCACTAGGAAAGACGCTTATAATGGGTGATGTTGACAAATGGATTGAAATGGTGAAGAAGTGCCAATACTTGCCTGAGAATGAGCTGCGCAAGCTGTGTGAGATTATATGCGACATTCTGCTCGAGGAGGCCAATGTGCAGCCGGTCAGCAGCCCAGTGACTGTGTGTGGGGACATCCACGGCCAGTTCTACGACTTGCAGAAACTATTCAGCACCGGCGGCGAGGTGCCCGATACAAACTACATATTCATGGGCGACTTTGTGGACCGGGGCTACTATAGCCTGGAGACGTTCACCAGGCTGCTGACGCTGAAGGCGCGCTACCCCAGCCAGATAACATTGCTGCGCGGCAATCACGAGACGCGTCAGATCACCAAGGTCTACGGCTTCTTCGACGAGTGCTTCAGCAAGTACGGTAATGCGAACGGCTGGAAGTATTGCTGCAACGTCTTCGACTTGCTGACGATTGCAGCGATCATCGATGAGCAGGTGCTCTGCGTGCACGGCGGACTCAGTCCGGAGATTGTCACCCTGGACCAGATGCGCACGATCGAGCGCATCGGCGAAATACCGTACAAGGGCGCCTTCTGCGACCTGGTGTGGTCCGATCCGGAGGACATTGACTTCTGGGACCAGAGCCCGCGCGGCGCTGGCTGGCTGTTCGGGCGCAAGGTCATGAACGACTTCATGACCATCAACAATCTCAGCCTCATTTGCCGCGCCCATCAGCTGGTTGACGATGGCGTCAAGTACATGTTCGACGAAACGCTGGTCACTGTTTGGTCAGCTCCCAACTATTGCTATCGCTGCGGCAACGTGGCTGCCATACTCAGCTTTAAGACGGCCACGGAGCGCTTTGCCCACATCTTCCTGGCTGTGCCGGACGCAGAACGTGTTCTACCCAAACGTAATGCCACGCCCTACTTTCTGTAACCACCAGCCTATAAAGCGAAGCACCGTATAAGAGAAACCCAACCGACACACAGTTTACAAATAATCAAAATTAAATCAAATGTTTATCGACCTCGCAACATTTCTTTAGCTTCCCCAATAAACCGAATGAAATAACTGATAATAGAAATTAACAAAGTCTTAGCTTTCAGCAGTTTAGCTTTTCAATACAATTTTTTTCATGTCTTACAAATAGAGCAATTTGCTTTAGTAAGGAAAGCTCAAAGGGTTTGCGAGCCTCTGGTTTATATTCTATAGTTCATGTTGATCACAGTGCAAACTCCTCACAAATTTGTGGCTGACTCAATAATTGATATATGTGTATGGATATACCAATACATATTATGGATTAGCTCGTCTGTCTGTCTATCGACAGTCTGAGCATAGAACCCTATATATTTGATATATGAACTGCATATTCTTGTGTATCTTTCGCAGTAAATGTTTACTATTGGTTTATTATTAGGTAATTTATCCCCCTAAAACACGCATTTGAATATTATATGCATGCCTAGACCATTTCATTAAGTTCGTAACTCTATTGTCGAAATAATTCCATTTATCGAATTTACCATAATAGGA